GATTCCATTTTACAGATGGGGAGTTGAGGTACTTGTCTTCAGCAGTCAAGAGCAGAGACAGAGAATCCAGATTTCCTGGGTCCCCATCTAATACTCTCTTAGTAAACAGCTGTAAGAAGTCAGGCTTCCCCTCCCCATTTTCACTGCAGGATATATCTACTTTTCCACAGTGATTTGCTCCACAGGGGATTCACAACAGGCAAAGCAGCAACGACGCATATGATCAACATACCCTATTAAAGCCATTTGCTGGTGTCCTCAGTATGCCAATTCTGTGCTAGCCACTCTCACAGAGAGGGAGTATTTGTCCATGTGTGACACCACAGCTTTTCCCAATGGCCTGTGCATGATGACTACCTTGGAAGATCTGCCAGCGTAACCTCTTGTTGAGTTCAGCTCCAACTAAAGTGGCAAGATTATGAGCTTCATTCAATTCCCTCCCACACATCAGCAGATTTAAACTAATCAAAACATAACAGGAAAAATGTATCCCCATCATCGAGGGAGCTAAACCAAGATGAAATTGGACCTTTCTTATTTTTCTTACAATATGAAAGCCGGGATCTGTTTTTAAAAAGAAAAACCAAAACCCAGATAATAATACATAGAACTTAAATTTAAAATAAAATAAAATAGCATAACATACAATGCAATAACTTCTACTGACATAACTCAGTCTCTGAAGTCAGGAGAGCTCCCTCAATTTACATTAACTGAGGCTCCAGCCCTCCTCTTACAAACAGAGTTGTAAATCGTTCTAAAATCCACAGGCAATATTACTTTGGGAAGTACATCAGTGAATAATCATCTGAACAGCTTCTATCTACGGCCCAATTTCTTTCTCCTCTTCCCAGCCACCAATGGTTAATATTAACCTTCAGAATCAAAGCTTGGTTCAACTGACTTCTGCTCCCCGAGCCAGCGCTAACTTCAGTGGCATAGAGAATTGGCCCTAAAAGCTAAAAGATAACAGAAGCCTGTACTTACACGGTTGTGTGCAGTGTTTGACTGACTGTAGTAAAAGAAAGACAGAACAGAGAATTCATGGTTTGTCAGAGAAATAAAACCATTTCCCATTATTTTGCAGTTGGCTCAATAATATCCTTAATAAAACTCCACTGATCGAAGTACAATTACAACAGAATTAGTTTGTGTAGCAAAGCCTTCAAAAGCATGTAAATTAATTTAGTGGAATCTACCTTTCAATAATAGCTTTAATTCACCTATAGATGTTAAATGCTGCTCCAAGTTTAGCCATAAATTTTTCACCCTACTTGGAACCAAATAGGATCTGTCATCTGGGGCTGCCTCCCTGTGTGGTTTAAATCACTGATGTGACTCTAATCATAACCTCTGGAAATATCTTTGAAGACAGCATCACTCAAGACATTTTACACATTGCAGAGCTGTTTCTCAGGGAAAAAAAAAAAGGACCTTTCTAGTAATGTACTGAAAAATCACTTGTCAAGTGAACAAGCTGTGTGAACTCCAGCTCTTTGGACTACCCTTTTCTGTTATAATTTAACTCCACACTCTCTAGAAATTCAAGAAAATCCACTTTGTAAATAGGTTTTCCCCCAAAAGCAAAGCTTTGAGCAAGCTCTGATTATAGAAGACATCTGTGTCATATCACATCGTACTAATACCATCATCTGTGTCACCTGGCTTATGTATTCATATCTCCTGGTTTTTATTTTTAAGTGTAAAATGGCAACACATAAAAATAACATGCGCATAAAAATATCTCTGTTTAAGAAACAGCTCACTGTTCCATGAGTTGGCAAGAAAGAAGATCAATGAATGACATGAGGGAAGACATAGGTATAGTTTAGAAAGAAAATTAACATACTTCCTTCTGTTAGTCAGATTGACTTTTATATAAGATTCTCTTAGAACAGAACATTCATACTTATCCTGCCCCCCCTGCAAAAACTGTCTTCCATTAATGTTTAAAAAAGGGCAAGAACTTGAAAGCAATTCTTTACCCAACCCTCCAGACCGAGTTCTTATCCTCAGATGAACTTTATTTTTTGATCAGCTCACTAATTATGATTGAAATCACTGGCCCCTCTAAACAGCACATAAGCATTAAAGCTAGCAGCAACAGCAAGACTGGTCTTAATTGGCCGACTTACATAAAAGTAGAAACATCAAACTTCTAAATATAAGTTTCTGGCATGTCTTTTCTTGCTATTACAGTAAAATAAGGTACAACAGAGTGAGATTCCAGCTGATTTGCACAGAAATCTCTGCCAATGTGTTTTCTGGTGACTGCTCTTCAAAGCAGGAATGGAGATGCACAAATACTGTTGTCTGCAATTTGGGATTCCAAAATAGCCAGAAAAATCACACAATCTCCACTAGGTGAATAATGAAGTGGCATTGGTCCATCTTTTTTTTAATGGCAAGGTAAAATCCACAATTAGGAAATAAAGAGACAGGTTGCTGGAATAATAGCCTCTCTCTTCTATTCCCATTTCTTTAATTATCTCTGATCCAGCAGAGAACTAGAATATGCCTGTGAGCCAGCAAGGTAGGCTCAGCATCACCCCGATGCTTTATGTGGTCTCAATCAGTGGTATCAAGAAAGTTAGAAATCACAGCTTCACGAAATGAACAGGGATTATCTGGATTCTGAAGCAGCCAGAAAAAAAAAAAAAAAGAAAAAAAAAAAGAAAAAAACCCCAACAAACCAACAACAAAAAAACAGCTACAGTCTTTCCCAAGAGCAATTGCCCTTTCTGGCAGGAAGGGGTAAAAATAGAGGCAGCTCATTAATATGGCTTGGCAGTGCTTAATGGCAGCTGGTCTGAAGAGTTAGATCAGTGGGTCTTTCCAGCAGTACTCCCGGACCACTGCCAGCAGGTGTTGCTGTGTTCAACCAAATGAGAAGAAGTGGAGGGGTGGGGAGAAAAATATTTATAAAGAGAGAAATAGGTGTGAAAAAAAAAATTAGTCACTGAGTAAAGCTTTCATTAGGCCTTTGGTGCAGCTATACACAAACTCCCCGAGGCAATAAGGAGCATGCTCTGAAATGAATAATGCTTTTCACTTCTCCTAATCTCCTTTCAAAAGTTATCCTGCACTATAAATCACTTATGTTTGCTGTGCTTCCCTAGGTAGGCTTCTCCTGTCACAGACCACACACTTTCACACTGGGAATTCTCTGACCCACTGCTGCTGTGGGAGAAGCGATGGACCAGCTGGGTGCTGCATCAGCAGGGGGGTGATGCCGTCACCCCAGCCGCTGTGGTTGGAGCCCCACACGACTCCAAGGCCACGGAGAAGATAACTCTGTTACTTTCAGGGCTGTTTTTCCATTCTCTGTAAAACCAGTGCAATACAAGATCTCTTGCTGAGCATATGTCTGCTGCCAAATTACAACAGTCACTGCACTACCAGTATGTAACTAATTTCAAAGACTTTCAGGGTGCCAGTTAAAACCAAATTCAGTCTAGTCCTGAGAAAAACAGAATTCCATCCTGCTGGAAAAGTCCTTTGCCAAAACTGGGGTTTAGGGTCCCCATTAAAAATATAGCCCTGCAAATAATGAGGTATGTGCATGCCCATTATTTGTCTCTCACTGTCCCTGAAGGGGGAAAAAAAAATAGGGGAAACAAAAAAAAAAAGCTGTTCTTTGTAATAACTGAAACCCCCAAAGTCAGATCGCAGGAAAGCTACTGAAACCTGTTTCAAGAGGCTTCAATCCACAGCATGTTACAGCCTGGAAACTTGTTATATGCATATTAAACCTGGGAAACAAAACAACCTATGTGGTCATATGTTTCCCATTAACTCCTGATTTTTTGCTCATTCTACCAAAGCTGTCATGTGAATACAGCACACACACACACACACACACACCAGTTGGAATCCACACTGCTATAAGGGCTCCCTGGTATCACTGTAAATTGACAATTTAAAATCTTCCTTCCCTGATGCAGATCAGCCATATTCCAAGACAGATTAGACTTACATTACCAACAGGACATAAAAATACAATCATAAGTACGATTCAGGCCAAAAAAAAAAATCTGAAGGATGGGGATTTTCTGGTAATCAGTGGGTGTTTTGAATGAGTAAAGACTGCATGATCATGCCATTTGTCATAAACGGTACCACATAAAGCCAGCTATTATGTGTGTTCAAGAAAGGAGATGGATTTTGAATTTACTTTTGACCTTATATATATTACTTTCGTGCTGCCTAATTGGCAGAGTGATTTCTGATCCTCATGAATGTAAACTGGAATGAAAATTACATTTTATTTTATTCCACATGTGTTAATATCACACTTGCAAAAAATGTGACCTGTCATTCATCGTAACTTATTTTTAGATGTCTAAACAGTTTTTAATAGTGTGATGCAATCCGCACGTCAAGAAGCCAGGAGACTTGGACAAGAGCAATATGATTCATTTTTAAGAGCTTTAAAGGGATCCCTAAGTTAACAGAAGGACGTATTTATACAAAGATTGATTTAAAACAGAATTCATCCACAGCAAAAGGATTCTTAATCAAGTGCATTTTTCTGAAGTTGAAACGAATCCAAATTTGCAAATAGATTATCTGGTATATTCTTAAGTATGAAAGAAGAAGAAAAACAATTTGCAAACTAGCAATTAAGTATCTGGCAAATACTGTATTTGAACTAAATCAGTGATATCTACATCTAATAATATCTATATCTAGCTGTGCAATAAAACAAGTTGGAGTGTGTCTTCCTGACTCATAGTGTTTGCTTTCAGTCTGATTTTAAGTTCTATTCTTTAAATGGATACAGAGATCACCACTACAAGTTGAATCCACGATATTTTGTCATGCTAGACAATTAGGAGTTTCCATTAGATAATTACCAGAAGTATGTCTCATACAGGAAAAACAGTCAATTGCTGATGTAACAGGATTAACCAATCCAGCACAGTGATCCGGCCCACTTACTTTTGACAGACATTATATGTGAGTGTACACATGAGAAGTACAGTATAAAGCTTCGCATTATAAATACCACAAAGAGGAACTTCAGCAGTTCTTAATGCACAATACAGCAGTCTCCTTCTGAGAGTCAGGACTAGAGAGGTAAAACTTTACATCAGATTTTTTTTTCTTTTAAAATTGAAACTTTTAATTCCTGTGCATGCTGTTAGGGGTCTATTGAATGAATGCATATACAGAGCTTTGCAGCTCAGGTGATTTTATAGAAACAGTCTGAACCACTATTTTTCTATTTATTGGAACACCCTGTATTTTTGTACCTATATATTTATGTCTGTTAAGTACAACTGCAGTAGATACCAGCGGTATCAGCAGACTAGCTTTTAGAAAACAGTGGGGTTTAGAAAGTTCTGCTTTAATGTTGAATCTCTCATCATCATGGCATGCAAGTAAAATATGCTATACCTATATGTAATAGAGATTGTCTGTGATAAGTGTACCTGTTATATATGGCAAGCAATGTATACCCCACAGCAAGAACCCAAATATACTTATCTGTGTTTTATATTGATTTATGCCTATCCCTTACTTTTCATCAGACACTGTTGGGATAGGTGCTATATTAGAACTATAAATAACCCCTTTAATTATGTCATCTGTTAGTACATCTAATCATGACTGCATATTTTCATCTGAAATTATTTTTTCGTCCAATTAAACTTTCAGTTCTATTTCAAGCTGACTTTCAGACTTCATATAATTACAACAGACTTTGGGCTGTTCACAAGATCCAAGAAATTTAGATGTATTATAGCGAGGTTTGTGTTACAAAGATGTGTTTATAAGAATGGCTGCAGGGTTTATAATGCTGACAGACCCATAAGTGTAACAGTATATAACAGTATAGCAACTGAGGTCAGTAAAACAGAGATGACGGTGTACTGTGGATGCCTTATAACAGTGAAAGACTTATAAAAGAGCTTAATTGAAAAGGACTCGCAATATATAACATTTGTAAAACTTTGGTTGATTGTTCAATTACTTCTGTGTGTTTCATTTACTCAACTATAATTCCTTACCTGTCTCTCAACCCATGTGCCTGTAGTCATCTCATGGAAATCAGAGACCTTACAATGCTTATATTTATAAGTTACTCCTTTCTACTAAAATACAGTGTTTGACGGTAATATAGAGAAAGCGGAATATTTGCTGGATAGGAAGTAAGCACACCTGAGAAGACAAAGGTGTGAAAGAGAGAATGAAAACAGGAAAGAGGGTAAATACTAAAAGAGCAGATGCTGTTCTGAGAAAATCTGTACAAGTTAAAGTCTGCAGGGAAAGAACCTCAGAAGTTAGAGTCTATCAGCTGTAGTGTTCTCATTTTCCATTACCAAGTTCCAGCGGAGGGAGTTTGCTCACTTCACCCTTGCTAGGTAAGGAACAGAACGGAGGGGCTACAGAATGCACAGGCAGCATTAAGCCATGGCAGTGACACTGGGAATGCCTTTTCACTGCACAGCAAGACCCACACGGGCATGAACTGGCAAGGGTCTACCAACACTAGTGGAAACTCGGGCTCCTCACAGTGTTTTAGCTTGCTTTTCATTCCCGATGTCTTATTCTAATGTTATGATTGCTCTGTGTGGTTTAAATGAATGAAACAAAAAAGTGCCTCCTAATAACAATGGGCCAAATGTAGATCTTACTCAGCCTTCCCTCAGAGAGAATTATTATTGGCATCGATGAGGGGTTTGCCTGAGTCAGGAGCAAGTATGATTTGGCCAGATGACATGTAACACTTTTCACCTTCAAAGCATTTTTCAGACATTACTTGATTAACCCCAAACCTAAATATATCTGCCTGAGAATTTCTAGGCACAGGCTAGCAGAGAAGTAGAGATATTCCAGCTCTGCGGGCACTACCTTAGCATGTCACAGATAAAGTGCTGCACCAGCTCCTGCTTAGGCTTTCAGTGCCTGACTGCATATTGCAGCCGGAGAGCATATCATGTATTATATAGCCCTCCAAACAGTGTTATTTTGCTCCCCTCAGATCTCTTGCCAGTGTTGATAACCTCCAGCATTTAGAAGTGAGCAGAAAAGATTTTTTCTCTTTTCCTGAAGGCAGAATAATATTCTGCCCAAAATATTCAGAGCCCCTGCTCTCATTCCCATCTCATTCACAAGCTATTTAACATCCCTGCTTAAACCAGGCAGGACCAAGAGCAAGGTGCTCCTTAATAAAAGGTTTCAGTTTTTTCATTCATTCAAATTCCCTCTATTCAGTTAAAGCCAGTGATACTGTTGAAGGAATAAACCAAACAAACCAAACCTAAACAACACAAAGAGGGAAGGAATGGAAAAAAAAGGGGGTCGGGGGGGGGGGGGGGATGACAGGCAGGGGGGAGCCAGGAGGGTCAAACAGAGAGGGGGAAAAAAAAAACCACAGGAAAAAAAAAGATTAAATTTGCAGGAATGAAAAGAGATTTTAGAAAGGGGGGAGGGCAGAAACCACGAGTAGTGATATTTGAAGAGAGGTGTGTGTTAGGGGAGCAATGAGCATAAGGAAGCCAGCCTGCCTGTTCCTCCCCCTTCCTAATCATAGCCTTTACTCACAGACAAAACTCCCTCCCTCTCTCATTCACTCACTCACTTTAGGCCAATCCGTCCTCTCTCTCTCTCTCCCTCTCTCTGTGTCTCTCTCCTACTCTGAGACAGAGTCAGAACTCTTCTCCCTGACAGCCACAAACATCTACAGCACTTATTGCATTCAGAGAGGGAACCTGCAAACAAAACTTCACAGAAAACTTTTGGTTCTTGTTCCAGAGAATTTGCTGAAGAGAAGGAAAAACAAACAAACAAACAAACAACCCAAACCAGCCCCAAAAAAACTGTGCGTGAAGGGGGAGGAAAAGCAGGGCCTTTTAAAAAGGGAATCACAACAACTTTTGCTGCCAGGATGCCTTTGCTTTGGAAGAGAGGATTTTTGTTGGTGCTTTGCTGGATTATAGTGAGGAGTTCCCCAACCCCAGGATCCGAGGGGCACAGTTCAGTCACTGACTGTCCATCATGTGCCCTCGCCACGCTCTCAAAGGATGTGCCCAGCTCACAGCCTGAGATGGTGGAAGCAGTAAAGAAGCACATACTGAACATGTTGCACTTGAGGGACAGACCTAATATCACCCAGCCGGTGCCCAAGGCAGCACTTTTAAACGCCATCAAAAAACTCCATGTGGGAAAGGTGGGAGAGGATGGTTATGTGGAAATAGAGGATGACGTTGGAAGAAGAGCTGAAATGAATGAAGTTGTGGAGCAAACCTCAGAAATCATCACCTTTGCGGAATCAGGTGAGTGCTTGAAAAACAAAACTAAAATATCCTTTGTGCCAGAACTGCAATTAACTTCTTTCCTTCTCCTCAGGAATAATGTTTTCTGCAAGGTTATAGGATGAGACTTGGGGGAAGGGAGAAGGAGGAATAGGATTGGGGGGGGGGGGGGGGGTAGGACTCTGAAGGAATTTGATTTTTCTTAGTCTTGGCTACAGATTACACTTGCTAAGCACAGTCAGCCACACAGGGAGGAAGCTCTCTAACCAATCTTGATCAGAAAGTCAGGCTGCAGCGGGGTCCTCCAAACTGTGCCTGTGCAACCACAGTACTTGCAGCAAAGTACTGGATTGCAGAGCTGATGGTGAAAGGAAAAAGGGCTGAAGCCTTTTGGGGAGTTTATCAAGATAGAAAGTGAGCTGCAAACTACTTGGGAAACAACCCTTTCATGTAAAAATTACAGTGGAAATTACAAAATCAGATGAAACAGCTTTAACTTTTAGAAGTGAGAAGGGTTTTTGTGTGGGCTTTGTTAGGGTTTTTTTCTTCTTTTTTGTAATTTAACACAGCATCTTCGGCAGTAAAGAGTTGCAGGGACTGTCAGATGACTTCAATAGAACCGGACAAGTTGCTGTAGCTGATCCAACTTGTAATGCAGACTTCTGCTTACTGGAAAAAAGATTCTGTTCCTAAAATGCTCCTGCCAAAAAAATGCAACCTTGGTAGGGTGTATTTTCTAGTCTTTCACAGTTCTGTTTTCCCTGACTCTTACACAGTAAGAGCTCAGAATATAGATATGTACTAAGTAATGCCTTAGGGCTCACGTCAACTGCCTATAGGAAACAGCTCTAAAGTTGCACTTTACTGTCTTGTTCCTACATGAATATGGACCAGAACCCATTTGAATTAAATGTACATGTATGTGCACATATATCTGTTAGTATATGTGAATATGTTTATACATGCATCAATAGCAGGATCTCGCAGTAACTCTATCATCTAACTAACAGCAACTTTTTATGATGCTGTCTAGCCAAAGCATTTTTCCTGTTGCCAAGACGGTTTTAAAAGAATGTCATTGTTTTGTTTGGTACAGCATATGGTAGGCAAAGTATGCAAAGGAACTCCAAGCATTTTTGTTTAAAAGTTTGCTGCAGCAGTATAAACAATTAAGACAACACTCAGAGTTTCCAGTCCTGAAAACCTGTTGACTCAGATGTTCTGTTTGCAGGGGAGCCATGCACAAGAAGTGTGCATGCTTTTAAGAGCAGACACTCCTGCTAGCTGTCCGATTTCCAACTGTACAAGGAGCCCTTGCCTTTGGAGTCCTTGTCAATATGCACATTTTCAGTTCCTTCAGTATGAAAGCTTAGGCTTTTCAGTTTTTTCCATCCCCTCCACTTCAGAAAGCAGGCAGGAGGTGTCAGTGCCAGAGGTCGTTAGAAGCAAGGGTGGCTCAGTGTTAGTTTAGAAGTGAGATTTTAAAAGCAAGGAAATCTCTAAGCTATCTATGAGTCGGATTCCCCACCTGGTTTTCAGCAGCTCGCTCTGAGCACAGTGAAACACATATGGCATAAGCAGTGGTTTCTCTTCCCTGTGTGAGTCCCAATCATTTGTAAACACATTATTGTCTCTCCTGAGCTCTGACACAAAGGAATTTGGAATTTGATATATGCCTACTCAGTACGACACCCTCCAACGGCGGCTCCTGAAGCCATTGGCTCTCGGGACCACGTGAGCAGTGAAAATCGTGCCATTGCCCACACGCTGGCCAATAGTCCAGCCGCTGATCCCCCCCGCCAAAAGCTACCCAACACTAACACGTCACTTAGTTTGATTTACATAGGGTTGTCCTACCACTGCTTGCCAGGTTAATTTAAGGAGACTGATGCTATGGAGTTGAAGGACAGGGGCATCTGTTGTGTTCCCATGCCTTTTCTTCCCTGCTGCTGTTCTCCACCTTCTCACTAAGCCCATCCTGGAAGCCAAGGCAGGAGGGCTGCTCCGGCCCTTTTTCCTAAACCTGCTAGACTTTGATCTGAGAGGAGGGAGGAGCAATTAGCACCTAGAAACAGCTCTGGGGTTTGGGCTTACGATGGAAAAGATAACTTCAGACTGCTAAAACATATTTTTCATCCATAGCCATTCGCATCTGGTGCCCTGCTAACATCAGAGGATCTACCACACTTTCCAGGTGCCAATAATACAGCAACTTAAGTAAGCTCTACCTGGGATCTCTCCCACTCATGCACCAGCAGTATTACATGTCAAATATTAGAGCAGTATTATTTTTCCTGTTGAGGAAAGTGACATGACATATAGGAAATGTGAGTTAAAGACAGGAAAAGAATATAGCCACATGGACAGTCCCCATTTTTCACTATGTGGGAACTGGGAAGAGTATGGATAAGTTTAAAACACCAAACAGGAGAATAAACGTGCTCCTCTCACAGTCAGGTCAATGTTCTTCCTGCTTTTAATGTGAAACTCACTCTGCCTCAAAAGAGGGCAATAAGAAACCAGTGAAAATGAATGGAAACATCTCACATTGTATCAAATAAAGGTCTGTGGAAAGAGAAATAAGACGTTAGGCTTTTTGTTCCTTTGGGTATGATTTGACATAAACCAGCCATTCTCCCTACCCTTCAGAAGCCACATTTACTACTTGCCTTCATAAGAAAGTAGTATTTCCATCTTTCAGCAGCCGTATCGTCAGACATACAATGAAATGGAGTGAATGAACAAACAGTGCCCTGTGCACGTGGCTCTGGCTTGAGACTGCTGTTTTCTAAAACATACCAAAATTCAAAGGAGCACAGGCTTCAGACAATTAGAGGGTGAACTACCTGCAGTGAAGCACAGGTGTAGTTACGTCCAGGAGATCAGAAAAAGAGTTGGCAGGTAGCTTTCACAGCTAACAAATCCAGGCAGATCTGTGCAAAACTAATGACCACGAGCATTGGGCAAAAGTTTACAAATGCACCCTACTGTCCTTTGGCACTCTTACAAGTAAAACATGGGAATTATTTTCTACTTGCATATCAGACTAAGATTACTAACCTCGATTAGTTCTGCTATGTGGGTAGCTGTGCCAGAGCTCTGTGGGTTACTTCAAGGTCTTAAAAATAGTCTTTTGAGAAGAGAGGTCAATATAATTTTGTGACAAGAAAATCCAACAGGTTCTATAATGGAGATAACCAATGATCATAAAATATGGTTGGCTACTAACTCTTTCCTGATGTTAAATAGATAGCTTATCAGGCAGACCTGGGATTTTGCCAAGTGAATTTGATCCTGGCAACTAAACTACCAATGAAATGGGTTGCTAACATCAGCCCCTGAGAAGGTGATAGGAATTACTGGATGGAAATACTGAAATCCAAAGGCTTACCATTAGGAGAACTGTCAGGGAGAAAAACGACAAGTCTGACAGCTACTTAGACCAATTCTACCTTTCTGTATCACTTCATACTGAACTCAGGGTGAGCCGACTTGATCATGAGATGCCTACCTTCATGTTCAGATACATACACACACTCACTCCTTTCCCAGGAAGATACCTCCTTTAGGATGGCAGTTCAGGAAGGAAAAAAGGATGGTTTGCTTATGCCCGTTTAAAACTAACCGATTTGCAGTTGAACGTGAACGTATTTAATGGTACAGGTATCCGTGCTGAATAAAGAATGGCCACGAGAGGGCACACTCCAAAGGCTTTTTGCTCCACACAAGGCAACCTTCCTGCAAGCTCCTATTTTACCTAATAAGATCCTGAATCCTAGAGATCCTTATGCTTATCTAGCTTCTCTGAGTGGAGCTCGTTTCTCTCTTCTAGTTTATTTAAAAGGCAAAGATTCACTAGAGTGGGAGACTGCAAGTAAAACAATGCAGGAAGCAAATAGGCAAAGGGAAAAAAGGAAAAAGATAAACTGATGGATGCTAAAAGTTCTGGAAATCTAGAGAGATCAGAAATGATCATTATTATTTTTTACAAGATACTGAGAAATGTGACCGTGAATCATCATCTGAGCTGATTTTCTCACATCTTTTTCTAATGCAGTCTCTTTGGCTTTTAGAAAACAAGCCTATTTCCCCTTGATTTTTTTTCCCCTTTGGCATACTGTACCAAAGATTTTAAGTTTAGCAATTGAAAGCAAGTTACTTCCAGAAGAAGAAAGCCATCTGTATTAATCTGTTTAATTGTACCAAAATGTGACGAGGGAGGTTGGTTGGTTCGAGAATAACTTGGGAGCACACAGAGGAATCTGAGAAGATGGGAACCAGTCTAGAAAAAGATACCTGCGAGACAGAAAATACTGCATGTGTCCACCTCTCTGTGTAGTCATGCACACAGTTTTATATGCACATGCAGTTGGGAATATGAATATGGATTTGCCTGCACGTGTGTATAAGCACAAGTTGATGATGGCTTGACTTTGTGAACAAAGATTTGGGAAGGGATAAGCAGAAGTATATCTATGCCAAGACATGCTTGTATACCCATGTAGCTGTACCTGTACCAATGTAATATGAATAGATTCCTGCAGATAAGTGTGTGCATTCATGTGATCTGTGTGCAGGTTTTATCCACACTGCATATGTGTACATGATTCATGCTGAGGAGTTCTTATACCTAGATATGTCTATATGGGTATGAAAAGGCAATCTTATTTAATGCCACAGAGCTTTGCAAGACTGATTTAATACTGAAACTTAGTCTACTGGAAGCAGTTAAAAGTTCTGTTATTCATTTCAGTGGGCTTGGGATTTGGGCCTTAGTGCACAGAAATTGAATATTTTAATGAAAACAGACTGGCAGCTTCTGATCCACTTAATTTTAGGATTTACAACAAATTATTACAAGCATGTACAAGAAAAAATTATGCTGTCTTTCATGAAAGACAAAGTCTTGATATTTTCTTTACCTTGAAATATATTATCTGTGAAAGTGACCCTGAATTTTGCTTGAGCTATTTTAGATGTAAACGCAAAAATCAGGTAACAAAAAACTTCAACCAAACAAACACCTTTTCTGTTTCTAAATATTTAAAGCCTTGTGGGGGGAAGGGCTTTCAATTTGGAAAGAACTCAAGGCTGGGGATGTAAAGTGCTTCCCTCCTAACAAAATAGCAGAGGAGAGTCAAGGTTCACCAGAACTGAATTATTTCACATTCTGAATGACCTTGTCAGTGCCCTTTTGGGTTAACTTTTCAAGAAGAGGTATTTAAATAAGGTTGCTGCTGCTTTCCCCCCCCTGCGAATGCTTGGGGAATAGTTCTTTTTCCTGGTTTTCTTTTTTGGTTTATTTTTTTTCTTGCAACAAAAATCTCCTTTTGCTGGCAGCAAAGGCCATGTGAATATAAAGATAAGGTGTTTGGAATTTGTGTCATAATTGCTCCTCCCGTTGTAAGAGGCGCCAGTCAGGGCGCAGGAACGAAAGCACACAACCTGGATGACCAGTCACATATGAGGGGTGATGAATAGTTAGAAGAAATCTCTTGCCAGTGATCCATAGGCTGAAATGCATTCACAGAAATGGCCACTGTCTAATCATGGTAATAACTCATTGGTAATAATCAGTCCGCCTAGGGGATAATTGCCAGACGATAACAGTGCTAAATTCACCGAATAAATTCTACCCCATGAACAATTCATCTGACTCTAGTGGTCACTCATTAGTAAACATTTTGAGCAATTATCTCTCAATAACCATGCTCTTCTCTTCACTCTCTTTAGAGGAACCTTTCTAGTAACCTATTTTTTTCTGTCTCCTGGGGAACGGAAATGAGAAGTGAAGAGAAGGATGCTTTTGAATGTAATTACAGATTGGCACGCAGTACAAATTCCCCCAAATCTAAACATAGGCAGTAGTAAAGTTAGCAACTAAAAAAGGGAAAAAAAAAGCTTGCTTTGTATGGAAAAACAGTTCACTTACAGTATAATGTAAAAACGGTTTAAAATTGAGCACTGGTGAAGCATGGAAATTTAAAGTAACAGCACCTTCTTACACAGATAGCATTTTTCAAAGGAAAATTTAAATACTGTCTATTAAGAGAAATTAAGAATAAGTCATGCTATAATGTCAGAAAGGATAATCACTTTCATTATGGAAAAAACCAGCCTTGATCATTTAACAGCATATGGTTAAAAAAAAGTAAGTTTAAGTATCTTAGCATTTTACATCCCCCCCCCCAAGATCTTAATTGTACAGTCTAGACCCTACCTATTCTATGAATACAGCTTGAACTAGCAGGGCTCAATTTTGAATCTCGCTGCAAATTGCAGCCCAGCACAAGCTATGTGAGCCCATCAGGAGCTACCATGCACCAGCTGCCCCCAGCGTCCTGCAAGGGCTCTGCCAGTCCCCTCCATGCCCATCACCAAGTGCCACTTGGCAGCCCTGAGCAGCCCCTTCCAGAGGCAGAGAGGAGGTACCTGTGCAGGCTCCCCTCTGCTTCCACATTCAGGTTTCTCTCCTAAAAAGGTGTGTGAGCACCACTGAAGAGAAAAGCAGATACGAGCAAACTCTCATGCTATATATATGATGCTACACTTTCTTTCCATTCAGTAACTCCTTCCATTAAACCTTTTACCATATATGCATTACTTCTTAGGACTTGTATTTTTAACCGTTTCTCACAGCATTTGCTGGTGTCACTCGTGCTGCTAGACTGCTCCCCCAGCGTCTCAACCCTGTTGCTGGAAGGGACTTTGCTCTGCAATAAAGCAGAGAGATGCCCTCTCCAAGGCTTTGGGAAGGGGAGATGAGGAAAAGCAATCAAAGGGGGGCCAAAGTAATCCCTCATCTCCTTTTTCAGCTGCTTTCTGCTATGATAACAATACAAGCTGTTGACATTGCCATTTATACGAGCATGGAAGTGATGAAGGCATTACCACTGTTGGGCTGTGGGTCTTTCCACAGGAGTCAGGCAGGAGGAGCAGGATGATTAGAAATGGAAAAAGACCCTTGCAAATCAGCTGTGGCAGATGAAAAGGCAGGATGAGAGGATAAACAAAGCATAATTATGGAAGTGATACCATCCCTGACTTTCAGGAAGGTCTCCTCTTTACTTTCAGTTAGATGAACAGTATACATTTCCGAAGCTTTGAACCTGGTCATTAACTCAGACCAAAAAGGAACGACTGCTAAATCCCTAAGCAATATTTGGAGAAAATGAAATACAGTGATTTTTTTTTTCTTGTCTCAGAACACTTGAAGAATTTATTTTATTGTAGCACCGAACCTTTTGGAAATAAAGATCCTGTTATAAAGTGAATGTGTAGTCAAAATAAGCCAGATCCAGAGATCCCAATTCAGCTTTAGCACAGGCCAAGCTCTGATTTCAAAACGAGCTTGTCTGAGCATAGTGACCTCGTAAAGACTGCAGGATTCATACCATTTGTGCTGTGTGATCGTAACAAACTAGTTGTGAATGTGGAGAGAATTCAGAAAAGCTTTGGTTTTTTTCCTGATGTGAAAGCATGCTTTTTATCCCAAACTCTGCACCATTTCCAGTCTCCTTCTAAAAAGATCTGTGAAAGGGAAAGGTTTTTTTAATTGCTATAAAACCTTTTATTAGCTATGCAAGTTTGAGGACTCAGGACTTTGTTGTGTCCAGAAATATTAGGCTTATATAAGCTTCCTGCATCTTTTTTTCTTTAGAATCTGAATCAACTATTCATGAGTGAAGATATAGCTAAACCACATCCAGAGAGGCTGTTACTGTAGCTAACAACCTAGAGGGAAGCTGTTATCCCTGTATAAGGACATGCCTTATACTACCTGGGCAGTGTGTATCTGTTGGAGATAGGTCACTTCGTAACTATTTTCAACTCCCATCAGCATGGAAATAACAGAACATGATATATCATGCATTACCACTTAACAGTATTAGGTTATTCTGTAATGCAGAGCTGTCTGGCTTTGCTTTCTGTAAGATGGGCCTTATAACTTCTTGCTGAAGTCTGCACACCTGAGCTGCTTCCTCCTGAGTACAACTGGGCCGGTTTTCCATGTTCATGCCCAGCACAGCAGATTTGCTCATGCACAGGATCCCTCCTAGTGCCAGAACTTGCTGTCTGTGCCCAGCTTGGTACCTCAGGAACACAGAGTAAGTTTTGGACTTCCCAGCCATATAGGCTTGTGCCCTGCACCAGCCTGTGAGCTCTGGGGAAAGGCGGCAGCTGGGAAGAAGCTGCTGGTGCCAGAAAACACTTTCTGCAGCTTGGTCTAGGTTTTCTTAGGTAGGGACACCAAGCAGAAGGAGTTGGATGGAGAGTCTTGGAGGTAGCAACCCAGTCCTGGCAGGTGACCTGCCTTTAGGCTCCCTTGAAGCCCAGGTCCCCCTCAGAAAGGGTTTATTTGGTCTGTGCCAAAGAAAGGGATAATCTACAATTAGAAGCTTGCTTTAAAAGAGAGAGTCGGGGGGAATGAAGCCACTGGCTGTATGGATGATCTTTGCAGGCCTTTAGAAGTATCCTTTCTCAAAGAGAACATCTGTATGTTCTTTATAATACCGGTATGCACAGAGCAACCAGCATCTTGGACCAGACTTCCTCTGGACCAGAGGGATGCCACTGTACATCTCCTCCTGCTCTGAAACCTGGGTTGGAGTGGGATTAATGCTTATTACCTGCCCTCTGCTCCAACACAGCTGGCAGCTTTGTCATGGTTTCATTTCCACAATGGAAATGTTAGCTGGTAAGAGCTGAACAATGAACTTTCAGTTGCTACTGAATTAATCTTATTTTAAAAAATAGTAGAAAACCAGTAACTCCACTATGTCTCGCAGGACTGGTCAGCTTGCTCTGTCTTTTCTATAAGCCACTTCCTTTTGTATATGCCATTTCATTTTCTAAGGCACAGTCCTACTGGTTCATATAGCTCCCTGAGAAATGAATGTAACTCATTTTGGAGACTGGCATCAGCAAAGCCTGTGAGAAGCAGTTAACACAAACCATGTGTTTCCCCTATCTCAGTGACAGTTACAGTCTACAATTTCACACTCTCACTTAGAGGGAAAACAAAAACAAAACGCTGTGCCCTTTGGCCACTGTAATTCAAAGACATCTGTCTCTTTGACCTGGGAATGCCACCAGGGAAAGCTGAATGTGTCAGTGCCAGGACTTCACAGAGAAGGAAAGCAACAGGTAGCTCAAGGGCAGCACTGCCTACCGCCTTTAGAAACCAGGAACTCTTTAATTTGCAGGTGAATGCAGGACAGATGTCTCTTGTCATTTTGACCCACTTCTGTCTCACCTGAGAGTAGGGGAGCAGGAGGATGGTCAGGGACCCTGTAGTAGTGGTTAGTGGCAATGGGAAAGCAAGGAGAGGAACTTTGCTGCCATGAGAGCAATTTTTCTTGTGTGCATCCAACCACTTCATTTGTGATCACCATTTGCCCTTTTTTGGGTGCAAAGTTCTGGTTTCCTGACAAGCAGAACCACTGAACCAGAGAATCAGATCAACAACCGCGGGTAGCTCATGAATAATATCAATGACAGACTGATAATTATGAATACTGTTTCTGTCTCACTAGGGTCAGATATCTGTAAATTTCAGATCTGTGACCCCAGTCCATCCTGGCCTCCATGCTGAGAAAGAACAAAAGATGCCAACATGGCTTTTTCTTTTGTCAAGAAAATAGAAAATTACCTCTCTTAAAGAAAAAAATAAAATACCACCACCACCTGCCAGCTAATTCATTCTCTTAACTTTTTCATGTTCTAGTGATCAAATCATTAAACAGCCCTCATTATTCATTCCAACTTCTGCCAGGGATATGAGCTCTGTATCAGAGAAACACCTCCTCACCATCATAATCATCATCATGACATCTCAGCAAGTTGATACAATTATGCCAGAGAACCATCCCTATAATTATACAGTTCTTTAGCTCATTTCTCAGTGTATTCACCATTACTATAATCACAGCGAGTACAGTGTGTTAAATTAAGAACAGGATCTACAGCTGACATCTCACAGGATGAAGAGTCTGCCTGCTGCAATTCTGCAATTCTTTACAATATAACTCTGCAAACCTCTCAAAGCTGAGGCTCATATTTTAGTATCTTTGCTTTTGAAATAATTGAGATTTACAATTCATTTTAAGATGCATATGAAGAATGGCATTTTACAGAGGGAGAAAGGGCAGGCCTCATTCCCACATCATTTGCAAAGAATCATCAGAACTGGAATTCACTCCTTAAGCTATTAGGCGCAGATTTGTGTGTGCATGGTACATATAGTCATGCAGAATGACTATACATGCCAACAGATACATGTTGTCATAAATGCATTGCTACCTTTCAGCTAACAGGGATTACAAACACAGCGTAGGCAAATGCACACTTTGCAGCTACTGATGCTGATTTGCCGTAAGATGCTTTACATAAATGGCTATATCATTACTATGAAAAAAAATGATTTGGTTAAAATATGATACTGGAAAACAACAGGCAAATAAACACTTTTCTAAAGACAGCATTTTCACAAAAGACAAAATGAGGAGAGGATGAGGTGAAGGAAGGTTAGAACAGAACAGTGTTAAAAATTTAACGAGCCAAGTAGGAAACCTAGGGAACTTCATGCCTGTGGTGACAAGTAAGAGAATTGTCTTTTACAGCATGAAAGCAGACATACTAACAAGTTCTCCCTGTCTATTTCCATTTAACAAATCAGGCTCAGCCAAGAAAATGTTGCACTTTGAGATTTCCAAGGAAGGCAGTGAATTATCGGTGGTGGAACATGCTGAAGTGTGGCTCTTCCTGAAGGTGTCCAAGGCCAACCGAAGCAGGACAAAAGTCACCATCCGCCTGTTTCAACAGCAGCGGCAGCCAAAAGGGAACCCTGAGGAAGCAGAAGATATGGAGGACGGGGGGCTGAAAGGTGAAAAGAGTGAGATTTTGATTTCGGAGAAGGCAGTGGACACCCGTAAGAGCACTTGGCACATTTTCCCTGTCTCCAGCAGCGTCCAGAGACTCCTGGACCAAGGCAAGAACTCTTTGGATGTGCGGATTGCCTGTGACCTGTGCCAAGAGACTGGAGCCAGCCTGGTGCTATTGGGCAAGAAGAAGAAAAAGGAAGATGATGGGGAAGGGAAAGAAAAGGAAGCTGGAGAATTCACAGGGGAAGAGGAGAAGGAGCAATCACATCGTCCCTTCTTGATGATGCTTGCCCGGCACTCAGAGGACCGCCAGCACAGGAGGCGGAGACGAGGCCTGGAGTGTGATGGCAAAGTCAACATCTGCTGCAAGAAGCAGTTCTTTGTCAGCTTCAAAGACATAGGATGGAGTGACTGGATCATTGCACCTACAGGTTATCACGCCAACTACTGTGAAGGGGATTGCCCCAGCCATATAGCAGGCACATCTGGTTCATCATTATCTTTCCACTCCACTGTCATCAACCATTACCGCATGCGGGGCCACAGCCCCTTTGCCAACCTCAAGTCATGTTGTGTGCCCACCAAGCTGCGGCCCATGTCCATGCTCTACTACGACGATGGTCAGAACATCATTAAGAAAGACATACAGAATATGATCGTGGAGGAGTGTGGCTGCTCATAGATACACATGTGTGCAAGACCCTTCTCATTAAGTTGAGAAGAAAATGTATCAAAAGCCCAAGAAGAGGAAAGACATGGTAAAAAAAACCCCTTTTCGAATGAAACTGTAATCGGAAATAAAAGCAAAAACAGAGAGTGAAAAGAAAAAAGACTTGTGGAGGATCAGAAGAGACTTCAGCTATAAAAAGGAAGAAAGCTTCATGAACCTGGGCTTGAATGAGATAACGTCTGAATGGCGGTATGGGTTGGGGGTTTCCCCTTCCTTTCAGTATGCTCCTTATCTTATTACATAGTGTACTAAACATTAGTTATTACTAAGGGAGTTGTGTTCCCTCCCTTAGTTACCCATCAGTTCAAGCCGTGGTAGCAGCTCATCTAACCTGCAGCAATTTGGACTAAGTCCAATTAAATTCCTTGAAAAGCCATGTGTATGAACACTACATTCACTGGCACTTTCCCCCAAAATTTACCGAGGAACTGAGTAGGTGTGTAGTGTTTGTCTGTATATACATATGGCTATGTATTTATATACATATCTCTATACATACAGACACTATACACACTCATATACTTAACATTGGTAAAGGGACAATATTGTGCAGGTGTACACACCTTCATCTTCTGCACTACATTTATAACAAAGAAAAAAAAAGAAAGAAAAAAGGAAAAAAAGAAAAATGGAAGAAAAAACAGAATAAAAAAAAGAACGAATGAAAGAATTGAAGTTACATTTTGTAAAGGTGCTTACAACATTAGAACTATGCAACCTAGTTGGTTTGAAACTGTTTACCTGCGGGAGAGAGAAAAAAAACAAACAACAACAACAAAAAAACAGACAAAAAAACAAACCAGAGAGACTTTTTTTTTTAATGGAAGTAACTTGTTTTAAAAAACAAAAATTCTTCAGTGAGAGATACTTGAAAGGAACATGTTTGTCCAGTTACTGGAGCCAAACATTTCTATATTTTGTAAAAAAAAGAAATTTTTAATCGTTTACTATTTGCACTACAATGGTGTCTGACCTGTCTAATCCTTATTTAACAAATATTTGCAAGGGAGGGTGGTTGGGTGTGGGAGGGGTTGAGAGCTGCACTTATTGTGAGCTATACAAGAACTGCTACAGCACACAAAATAGCTATTTTTATTATTATAATAATTATTATTATTTTGTACCTTAAAATGAATAGACACATACACCAAAGACATTTGTGCAAGCCTCTAAAAAGTCTCTTTGTGGTTGGTACCATTCACCCGTAACAAGTTAGGGTTTGAATTAAGGGTCAGTGGGTTGATTACATTCAGGCTAGAATATCTGTTAACCATTTATATTCAAATAGTACCCTCAACAGAAAATTGCCATTTGAAGTAAGCCCAGAAAAGCCCTGGGATTTGGATCCAAGGTGCTTGGATCCGAGGCCCATCTAAGCATTATTGTACTCTTCTTGCATGTACAACACTAAGACTTGTCCCTGATGCACAGCAACTGTGCACTGCTGGGAAACAATTTTATACAAGGGATATACATATATATATGTATATATTTCTGTATGTATATATGTATGTATACACAAAGTATAAGCACTTCTGGCTTCACTTTAATGTTCTTAAAACAATGAATGTTTGTGTGCAAAGCACAGTATGTTTAACAGATTGTTTGTTACAACCAAATGGGAGGCTACATGTTCAAAATGGCATTCGTGTGAGAGAAACCTCAAGTGCTGGTGTACACTTAGAAAAGTCTTTATGTGAAATTACAAGCAGCTTTGGGCCCTGCCCACCATCGCCCCTGCAAATATACAGAGAATGGCAGTTGTGGTAGGATTGCTGTTTGAAATGCAGTCTTCTGTGAAAGACTGGCTGGCTCAACCACCACCCTCTAACATGACAATTCTTAATGGGTTTGTGCGTTGCCTGCAAGACCTAATTTTCAGTGTCAACACCTAACCTGAAGGGTCCAACCCATAGGGCATAGGTAGATAGGTTTTTTTTTTTTGTTAAAAGAAATTCTATCGTTGTCATATTTAAAAGAATGTTAAAGTTACATTTGTCTTTGGGTAGGGGGAGATCATAAGAGGGAATGGGAGAAACCATTAGGCCCTGTTTACACTGAGTTTGATAACCCTGAGCCTGAAGTTTCAGACTCTCACAGATTTGCAGGACCAAGCCCCTGTTAGCTGCCTTCTGACAGGTCAGGCTTCAAAATGCCTCTCATGGAAAGAAGCACTAACACAGCTCCCCACCTTGTTGAGAAAACGGTCTGTAAAAAAGATAAAAAAAATACAAATAAAAGAAAAAAAAAAGACAAAGAAAAAAAAGATAGCACAATTTAACCCAGTCACATTGGCTAGGGATAGTGTGTTAGCACCTTCATGGCGAGAACCATGTTTAACAGTGTAATCAGGGCCTTCATTTTTTGTCAGCCAAAACTGTTTGTGTGTGCATGTGTGCGTGAGTGTACTCTGTGTGTGCATATGTGTGTGTGCATGGGCCCATGTCCATATTTGTATGTATTGATAGAGATTTAAAAACAAAACAAAAAAAAAAAAGAAAAAAAGAGGAAAAAAGAAAAGGAAAAAAAAAGCCCTTTCCTCTGTTGAATAGATATCAACATACCTGCTTATAGCTAAGTTTTCTATCTAATTTATTCCACAGTATTTAGTTTGCATAGTACAGCTAATGGGTTATACATTTATGTACTTTTTATACAATGCATTTTTTTTTACAGACTTGTTTGCAATTTGCAAAAAAAAAAACAAAAAACAAAAAACAAAACCCACATTAAAAAATGGTAAGAATTGGGTAAACACTAAATTTGTCACTAAAAGTATTCTGTAAAATATCAAGGCTTTCTGATTTAAATTATTTACAGAAGTTTGCTCGGGTTTTTTTGTGCTTTCTTCCTGGGGAAAGGGAGGGATACCAAATGCTGGTAGGAAAATTAAAAAATAGCAAAAAAAGACAAAAAAAGATGCACAACTAATTTATCTTTATAACTTAAACCGAGTTCCTGACCCTGCTTCATTTGAAGCAAGTGGCAGAATTGCTGTTGATTTTTCTAGCAGTAGAGCCGGGCTCTAGAACAGCAGGAGCAGGGACAGTCTGTGACAGTTGTTGAGGAGAGTACCTTTTATTTCACTTTAGGGCTTTAGAGTTGGCCTTAATATTGGATGCATATTGTCCCAGAACCCTTACTCATGTCAACTTTTTGATGTCTACTGGTCTCCTTACAAGAGTAGTAAAACTACTTACATGAGTAAAGGCAACCCAGGGTGAATCACAGGTTCTTTTTGCTGTGGGCAGTGTGAAGGAGAGAAAGGATTTTGAATGAATGGCACCATATCCAACATTGTTTAATTCAATTATTTAAACCAGGCTGCTTGCATGATGGATGATCTCTGACCATAGTGGCAAGGGGGACAGGTGAGATGGCTTACAATGGTAAAAACCTGTTCTCAAGTGTGATTGGTTAGAGAACGTTAGAGACCTGAAATCCCAGCACCTACCCCTAAAACAACAATGGCAAAACTCCCATTGGCTGCAATCGGAGGAAGTTTAAGCTCCCGATTTCCCTGGCCAAAGCATCATACTTTTTTTCTTTAAAAAGAAATGCGATCCTGAGTTTGATAGCAGGTTTTATGTGGTGAATGGGGAAAACATGAAACTAGTCTGAGACAACTTCTAAGTGAAGAAAGAAAGTAAGACTTCAGATATGGTGAGCATGTTTCATACTAGATACACCAAAACCAGAAAAATCAAGAAGTAACTGTTCCTAAACCCTGCTTTTTAGCTTTCATTTGTGTATGCGTACTAGTCACAAATTTTAAAGGTTTCTCCCTCCAATCTCTAGATTCAGTCATGGGGTTTTGATTTGTGGTCAGAGTTATTTAAAGAAGGGGGAAATGAAAAACTATATGATAAAATAAAATAAGAAATCGGGATGTTAATCAAGACTGACTGATTCCAGCAAAACACCCCATCCCTGATAATTTGATTTAATTAAATCTGCATGTATCTAAAATAGCATAAGAAATTGTTACCATATTTAAACAGTTGTTCAAGGGCATGCAGTCTCAAAAATTACTTCTCCTTTCAGGTATGACGATACCAAAAAAACTAAAAATAAAAGAGGCTTTTAACTACTAACACATTCCTTTCCATATAACCTACTTCCTGTTTATATTGGAAATGCATTTTCAGTATATGTTTAATCACAGAAATGTTATTTGTTTAGTACCTCCACAATCTTCCTGCTTCACAATTGACCACATTTGGTTCTTCCCCCCCCTCCATGTCAGATGCACACTGGATACAAGACCTAGGAAACTGGCAAAAGTGCATGTTAAGACGTTTTTTTGGGAGGGCTGAATGTATTTGTATTCTTGGGGTTTAGCAAAAGGAAATGCTTACAGATGCTTATAATTATTCTGCACTCATATGTCACAGCAGAATACTGATCTAGGGCCCCAAACTGTAGAACTAAATGAAATGGGAGTTTTGTCATTGACTTTAATAGAAACACTCACCAAATCATTGCAAAGTAAGACCGTGTTATATATACCTCCTTTTTTTCACATTTAGTTGAGATTTAAGCCATCAAGTTCATTTAACTACGGCACCACAAGGCCATGTAGAGGCCAACAGCAATTTCTCTGAGGTAGAGAAGTTCAGGCATCTGAAATGTCTATGTGCAAAATGAAAACTTTTACGGACTGTAGTTACTCGTGTGGAATAGTGCCTTACTCTGCAAGCAATGCTGTTGATTTCAGAGGGTCTCCTTTCCTAGAAAGTTACCAGTCAGCATCAATAAAGTGAGCAAAATCTATTTCTGAAATGTAGGTAGAAGAGATGTGATGGAAATGATTAAGTTCTTTAAGTTAAACCTCATGTCAATAGTGTGCATCAGTATAAGAATCAGATGCTAATCACTTTCCTTACACTGAAAAAAGCTTTACTCCCCATCTGCTCTCACTGCATGACATGTGGAGTAAAAGGGTTTTCAGTGAGAGTAAATAAAATTGCAATTTGACCTTTTGTGAACAACTATAAGCAACGTTTTCATGGGCAGAAACAAACAGCACTTCTGGGTTATATAGCTATTTATTTTTTGAGATATAGTGAATCTGTGTTAATTCTCAATGGGTTTCTTTGTATTTAAATACTTTCAAAAACAATACATTGACGATGGGTTGAAGATATATATATGTATGTATATATACATATTATATATATATCTACAGTATATATATACATACACAACTATATATATGTATATACATATATATAAATTATGAAAGCCAAGATATTATGAAGCCTATTTTGTTTTTATCATTTTGTGTTTTGTTGTTGATATTATTATTATTATTGTTATTATTATTATTTTGCATACTACATGCAGTGCTTTAACCAATGTCTGTTCGGCTAATGTAATTAAAGTTGTTAATTTATATGAGTACATTTCAACTATGTCAATGGTTTCTTAATATTTATTGTGTAGAAGGACTGGTATTTTTTTTATTTACATTATGTTTAAAGAGGTAACAGTTTGATATGTTCTCATTTGTTTATATTAGAAGTTATTTATTTTCACGGCATTCCGTCTGGTATTTTGATATTTGGAAGGCATGCTACCTATACTTTGTACAGTTAGTGGGCAGTATTCAGTAGCTCCCGGAAGATTTTTAGGCCCTATGTTAAATAAAAGACCTGTTTGGGATCTTTATTTTAGATCTTTCCTATTGGTTTGCCAGGACCACTCAGTGCACTTATTGCCAGCCACTCTGCCTGCGTGACCAATTTATTCCTACTGTATTTACCCAGGACAGATGACCAAAATCACCTCTGGTGTAAGTCCAGTGACTTCAGTGAAGTTATACCAGAGATGTATTTGGCTCACAGAGAAAATGCTTGTGCAAATCAATGCAAAGAAAAGGCAGAAAGAAAGAGAGAGAGAAAGAAAGAAAGAGTCTTTGCATTTGGAAAGTTAAAAATGTTTGGGTCAGCTACTATTTTATTTTACTTTGTTCTTTTTATTATTTTGCTCTTTCTTATACAACAGCAGCAACAACACAAGTGAAATAAATAAAGGGAGTTTCACCAAGCATTGTGTAATCGTCCCTTAATATGCATTCCTGGTTGGGAAATTCACGGGAGCTGGGGAAATAACAGACAGAAATTAACCTTCGAGGTGAAACATGTGGGTGCCTCTTTGGGTTGAACACTGTGATCCTCTTTGGTGTGACTAGCTAAATGGACATTGAAATTCATGGCCCTACATGTAATGGAATTTTAGGTTGTTCACTTCTCCTTGTGAAACACAGAGTACAATAGCTAAAGCCAACTGCAACTTCCCTTTGCCTGCAGGCTATTAGGTCTTCAGCTACCATCACCACAATTCCCTTCAACAATCCAGAATTAGATGCTTACACAGATAAAAGGAGAACTTGTATTACCGAGACAAAACTGCAAGACTGACAGTTCACATGCATTGGTTTATAAATGGATTAGTAGTCAGATGAAGTGATCAAAGAAGCCTGATCACAGGCAGCTGATCCCTGGTCTGGTGAGAAATTACCTGAACACTCTCATATTTGAAAGTAAAGTGAACTTATGAAGGGTCTTTCACCACTCATTGCATTCCTACTGTGATAAATGGACTCCTGCTACATTCCACTGGGGTGAGAATCAGGGAACAAGAATTTTGAGGTTGATCTTTAAATGGATTATTTGCACGGTGCTCAAGCTTAGGCCACTGCAGCTGTAAGCTGGCCTTTTAATAATCAGGCACTGGAAGCCTTTATACAAAGGCTGGAGAAGCAAATTGCTCTCTTCTTACTGAGGGTAAGTTTTTAACAAATCAGTGTAATAAGAGCTAGGGAAAGCCTTTGTTTCAGATATTTAAGACACGATTGAACATTTGCTTTCTTTTCTTTGTTACAACCACTATTAAGACAGTTGGACCCAAGGATCTTAAAAGTCTTTTCCAACCTAAACAATTCTATGATTCCATGATTATTATTGCCAGCAAGGATAAATCCAGCTGGATTGAGAAGTTGGTCTAAGAGAATAAAATCATAAGGGCTATATGATTTCAACTGCAATTTTATTCACCTGGTATACATGAAGCTTACATTTCAGATGTAAAATAGGGAGTAACCCTTTCTATGGCAAGACCTAAAGTGCAGTACTGGATGGTATAATCCAGATTTTTTTTCTTTTTCCATTTTCTCCAGCCATTTGATTTTAAGAATGCTATTGAGAGCTGTTGCTATTGTACAGGCTTGTTGAAATGCCCCATCTGAAAAGAACAGTGGATAACTAATAGCTGCCTTTTGCATGAGCAGAACAATCTCCTAAAAATGTAAAAGAATAAAACAACCCTGTCCTAAACTAATTAGACCAAGCTAATAATACATAGACAAAGGCAGATAACACCCAGTTATTTTGCACACCAGATACACAGATAGTGTCTACCCAGTGTGGATTTTCTTCCTCGGAGGGACATCTTCATGCTGTTGCTTGGGTTATTGAGTCACTGGGCTAGTTTCAGTGTCTATCATGATTCTTTCCATGGCTAACAGAGGCTATATTTCAGTCGTCTCAACGCCCTCAGTGATCCCTTTCTTAAGTTTGTCTGTCTCCCTGAAATACAACCACAGACTGATTTCAAGTACTGCCTAGGGCTCAGAGCGACTAACCTCCCTCACACTGCTGATAGAAACATAACACTTCTTCAACACTGATCAAGTCCACAGCTTGCAAATACCTGCTGCCCAGCTTCTATGACCTTTGGGCGTTTCATGGTTTCAAAAGAGCTATATCACACATTGTCACCATTTGATCAGCCACTGAAAGTGGAAGGGTTGGGAGAAAGGAGACCCTATTTATATATCTTTGTCTTACAAGGACTTGTGAGAGGGAATGGGTTTATTTTATCTTTGAACAGTGACACCACAGCTTATGGACGCAATGGCAAATTCAGTGTACACGTTACAACAGCACATCAGGAATCAGCATAACAATTATTGAATATACCTGACTCATATAGTCTCTATTGCATGTGAAAGTTACTGTTTCTAAGGAGATAGAAATGTGTATCACCAGAGTTATGGCCTCCAGAATTCCATATAACAGCAGTCAAAACCAACACTGCAGCTTCGTTCAAACAAGAAAAACATTCAGAGAGGCGTTGGCAAGAGATAGTAGCAGAGGTCCCTAGAGGGGGTCTTGAGTAGACTGCTCGTCCACAACTTAGGCACACACAAGATGCCTCATGGCTGCATTAGGATGCAATTTATAGACCTGGGCTTGATTTTAACAGTTAGCAGGGTATTACAGACCTGGATGACCTAAGTGAAAGTAAGATGAAGTCCTGTTTTTTGAGAAAGATCACTGAGTATAAAAAGGCAAAGAGTAAGATGGCAGATAACATGGGCACTTTAATAAGCCCCACATGAGAATGATCAGTTGAATGCCTTTGAAAAATGTGAAGATCATCTAAATCAGGGTAGAGGTACAAAAATCTCCAGTTATGGAATGCAATTTCACAGGGTCTTTATACATAAGAAGCCCATTGAAAGGCCTAAATCTTAGTTTTCAGCTATAATTCATTGCCCTTCCAAGGATTGTGCCAGCCTCAGAAATGGTGCAATGCAGGAAGAAGACACAGCACCACTTTCAGACATCAGACACTCACTGGTTTTGCCACCCTAACAGTGTAGAGAGGCCACAGATTTATCTAAAGACTGGACAGACAGATTGGTTAATAAGTGACAAATCACACTATTAATTTCTTTGAAATTTCTAGCTCATGACACAACCCTCAGAAGCAATTCAGGCCTGTCTCAGCACTGGCAAATTACCTTAGTATGAATCAGGTTTAAATTTGTCATGCTTTCAAAATGCATACCTTTTCATGCAAATCCTACTCCTTTCTCACGCTTTCAGTGGACGGCACGGTCACTTGTACACAGCTGTTGTGGTGAAATTGGCTCTAGGTTTAGGGTTTGCTTCTCCATTCATATGTCCGTAGCCTAAGAAAATGCTCAGGCACAGGAGCTTTATATCACCCCCACATGTCTGGGCAGAAAGGAGGGAGATCAGATAAATAATTATGTCAACATATGAGAGATATTCTCTACAAATAGAAACTCCAGGTCCAAACAGGAGAAGCCCAGTATGAGATCTACCCTGCAGTGACACAGCCGAGGCAACTGAGAGGGTCTGCAGTACCTGTGGAAGAGCAGAGGGAATGCAGCAGCAGGGAGGTGTTTTCAATGACTCCCTTGCAGTAACTGTCACATCAGGTCATGATGCAGAGGTTAAGTTTTTGGCTGTCAACAAATGACCTCTTTAGGGAGAAGACTGGTAGGGAATCCTCAAGAGAAAAAGCAAACTGCTATGCAGAACCTGGCTTAAGAATCTTATTACCAAAACACTGTTCTAAAACGGGTAACACTTAGGTTTGTTACAGCAAGAAGGTAATTCTTATTTGTCTTTCTGTCTCATACCTCCACTACAGCAGAGTGTGCTTTCAGAAAGAGAAACTGCAAAAAAACTATGGAAACTTCAAGAAAATAAAAATGAATGAGTTAAAGAATGAGTTAAGCACTTAAGTAAATGCAATAAGAGTCAGTGTGTGCCCTGGAGGTGGAAAACCTGCTTCATTTCTTTGAAGAAATCAACAGGTTCATGGAAAAGAAAACATGCTGATATAGTCAACTTGGATTTTCCAGAAGGAATTTATAAAGACCCCCTCTAACTTTTCCTAAAGAAACCAACCTATCAGCAGATAAAGAAGGCAGCATACTCATAACTAACAGTTTTAACTAGAAGAGATGAAAGAAGTGGGGAGATGTCATTAGTGTCTGGCTCTGCATTCGGGTCTGTGCTATGAGCATGAAAATCTGAAAAGTGGATGAAAAGTCAGATTACAAAGTCTCCTGACAATACTAAGTTAATCAAAATAGCAAAGGCATTGGCTGGTGGGATGGAATTGCAGAAGATGTTTGAAAAATAATGAAAGAGCAGCTGAAAATCAGTTTCAATAACTGTAAAGTAACAGAGGTAACACAGGACACATGTTGGAGAAAACAGTCCCGATTTCGCATGGATAGAAGTGAGCTGCCCCTTGGGAAAGGGACTTGAATATTATAACAAACAGTGTCAGCTAAATGCTCCTCATCAGTAAGAAAATAAGCTGAACATTAGGGATTACTAGGCAAGATGTGGGGTTTTTTTTTTGCTTATTAGATGGGCTGTATAGCTGGAAAATGCAGGCATGGTTTTAGGTAACAGAAGAGAATGACAGACTTCAGGGTAAACCAGAAACTCCCATTAGGTAGCTGAAGACTACAATTAGCACCCCTTTTTGCTTTCTCCCCACCAGGCTGAGAAAGTCCAGGTAACTCAAACTCCTCTCATACCATTTCTTTAGAGGGACAGATGGAGAGAAGAAAAACCCCATAATTTTATGTCATCATATTCCTAATTGGAGAAGCTCACTGCTGATTCTCCATTAGTTATGTCACTTTCCCCTCAGTATAATACCTCACTCTCTGTAGAACAACACAGAGGATAATCTCTTCATAATCTGATAACCTCCTCATAATTCATGACCTGATGGGTTATGAGCAGGCACTGATCCAGTATATACAGACAGAATTCACTCAACACTACAAGAGAAAAATGCAGCTATTCTGAAGTAAAACAGATAGCTTGGTTATCCTTCTGATGCAGCCAGTTGTTTCTTTTTTTTTTTTGTTTCAAATACATGTTTTTAAGATCCTTTCCTGTTAAATCACAAAACTGTATTATCCTCATTGTTGAGCAGCTACAGCCTGTGCTGATTATCTCTGAGCTTTCTTCAAAGGCCAGTTGCTATTTCCTTTAAGCTCAAGTTCAAGTCCTCTGAGCTGTTTCAATAGCACAAGCCATATGCATCCCTGGGGAGACAGGCCAACGGGCAAACCAGCTTATGAATGGCCAGACTTGCCTTGCTGCATTCATGCAACAGCAAGAGAACAGGTTATTTACATTATTATTATCCTTGGACTACACTGTCTAAAACAAAAATGAGGCAGCGGGAAGCAAGGCAAGCTA